ACGCATTGCGATCATCTAAATTGTTTCACTTACGTAAAAAGCTACCTCGTTGGTAAAAAGACATGATTCATGCGACCTAGACTTGATACCGGTAATTATACTTAGATTGTACCGCATTATACATTTTCAGAAGTTAAAAATGTTGCTTTTACAAGACCCTTCGATGCGGCGTTGCGCATTTCCCTCTAGGGATATATTTTGGGGACAAATCCCGATGAAGTTTCAACTCAATCGCCACGATCGCCACTCTCCGTCGACCACTGATCTCTATGTCTATTTGCTGGATCGCGTTTGACCAGCTCCTCCTATGGACCGGAATGCGGTCACTGGCGGCCATCTTTAGGTAGAGTTATATCATCTCTAGCCATCATAGTAATATGGCGGACAGCGCAATGGCGGCAGGCTGCCATAAAAATAGCCGTAGATCTAGTACACTGTACCGTGGGTGACATTTCGTGCTTGATTGAAGTTGTTTGATGAAGCAGATTCTTGAAACCCGGCGTGAACGGTAGCCTCATCTTTGAGGACCCGGCGAAAGTTCTACGAAAGCGCAGCACCGGGGGAAAGCAGCGCAGCTCGCATCAAAAGCAGACTCCGTACCGTCGTCTGCTTTCGATGCTCCTTTCGATGCGACTTTCGATACGTGCTGTGCTGCTTTTCTCCCGGTGCTGCGATTTCGTGAAACTTTTACCAGGTCCTCAAAAACCAGACTACTGTTCACGCCGGGTTTCAAAAACATGTTTCGTCAAATAATTTTAATCAAGCACGCAATATCACCCACGCTATTTTGACCGCAGCCTGCCAACCCACCTGCCAAAACGCTATCTGCCATGGATGGATGATAGCGGCTGCAGCAGCTTACATTGGCTAGAGGTGATATAACTCTACCTAAAGATGGCCGCCAGTGACCGCATTCGCGGAGCGGGCAAACGCGATCCAGCAATTGTCATTGAGATCAGTGCCGTCGACGTCATCAACGCGCCGCGATGAAGTTCCCAGTGTTGCCAGATTGGGCTATATATAGCCAAATTGGGCTACATTTTTTTTTCTAGTTGGCGTCAAAATTTCGTGGTTGGCTATGTGGCTATTTCTAAGAATGCGGCGAACTTTTGCCGAACCTCATGTTCGACGCCCAACTTTGAGGTTCGGCTAGTTAATTTTCGAACTTTTAATCAGTTTCGAACAAAAAAGTTTATCTTTTGGCTAGTCGAGAGGAGGGACAGGAAGGAGAAAGGCTTTAAACTTCTACACACTTTGGGGTTTTCACATTACGCAGTGAGGCAATGCTTGCAGAGTTCTAGCGGTCTCTCTACAGCGCAGTGGAGCAAACCAAACAGATTGCACCATTACCGCAGGCCCAGTAGCGCGCCTTCAACCCGAACGCATATGGCTCTGCCCGGACGTAGACTGAACTCTCCAAATCTGCTTTGGTGCCCATTGTGATAATCCTTAGGCGCCCAGGTTTGTAAAAATGAGAAGTCCGCAGTTCCACCGCTAAACAATTGACTACCTTCCAGTCGTTGCCCACCCCAAGAAAGAACAACACAATCAGAAATAGCTTGAACATGAATGGGTGACACTAATATTCTTTACAAAGAAAAAGAGACCGGGGGGGAGGGGGGATATCAGTAAGGACCTGAGATATTGGGGTTCTGGTTTGAAACACCCAGTGTTATGACTGTTCTGCTTCTGTATTTTGTTCTTTTATTGCATGATCATATCTCCCGGGCTTCACAATAAAGCTGTCTTTGTGTGTTTTGTACTTCTGAAAACCTACAAAGGAAGGGCCAGTTTTGTACGGATATTCATCCTTCCGAAGATTTTCTTGAAAAATTCACAAGTAATATAATGTGCACAAAAGGTGGTGCATCTGAGGGTTAAAACAGAGATTGTAACATGTATTGTATGAGCGTGAGAAATTGTCAATATTAGGCTGAAAATTCACTGTTTTAGTCTTGGCTATTTTGGGCTATATATTTTTACGGCTTTGGCTATATTTGGGCTATACTTCCCATTCGTTTGGCGGTTTTTTGGTGGGACCATCTGGCAACACTGGAAGTTCCCTGCCAGTTGAGTTCGCCGCCGATTGAGATTAGGCTCCTCCCACCGGCGACGTCACGATGAAGTTTCTTCATCGCTTTTTCCAGCATAGACAGAAAGATCAATCGTATTCTAAAAGGTTTATTGAAAAGCGTTGGATGCCAAACGAATTTCACATCCGGCATAAAACTCTTTGAGGCGAGACAGCATAAACGGAAATGTCCTTATCCTAGGTGACTTTTGAACTCGTGCAACATCTCGCACTGTCGAGGCTGAACCGGATGCAAGCGATTTAGCCGAGCGACGGCGACAGCGACGAGCGACACAGATTTCTCACTGTCGCTCGTCGCGTCGCTCGGTTCTTGAATTTCTAGAAAACGCCGCTCATCGCCTTGGTCGCTTGCTCCCGTCGCTTTCATGCGGTTTGCCTCGTCGCGCGACTGATCGAGCGACAGCAAAGCGGGTCGCCGTCGCTTCGCTTGTTTCGTCGCTCGCCAAATCGTTTACACGCGGTTTATACTTCATTCCACCAATGTACATCTCCTCACACACGTCTCCTACGTCCAGTGCTTAAAGTCAGGAAGGTCTCGGGAGATATCAGACCCCCCCTATTCCATAGCCCTGGCGTTGATGAAAACACAATCATAAGTACCCCATCTTGTAATCAGAAATGTTAGAATTTTTCCATTCAAGTTTTGTTGAGCAGCCGCCTCCAGAGAGAGAAAACATATGGTGTGAGTAACCATGTTGATTGCGTGTTGCAAAACATCGCGGATGTTTCAGGGACACTATTAATTGATTATGAGCGATATAATCGGAATCCACGTTGCTGTTTGTTCTTGTTTCCTGGGAAAAATGTTTGGTTACGCATACGCTTTATTTAAGTCGGTTTTGTGTGCATCTAATAACCCTCTTCTCCCCCTTCCCCTCTTTATCTGTTTGTACCGACCCCAAGGAACTAACCAGAGTCTTTTAAGGCCCGCTCACACTCTTGCAACTGAGTACGACCGAGAGAGACGAGACCTGTTGAAACCTCTTATAATTTCTTGGGACGAGAGAACACACTAGCACGCTGGCGCCATCTATCCGGTGACCCTGGAACTGCATTTCACAAGAGCGAAGGTTTTGCGGGATTTATGAGGTCAAATGTGCAGAATACGTATAAGAGAGGCGCGTTTAAAACGTTGACAAAAGTTTTTCAAGCCAAGAAAGAAAGGATAATGTGCAAGAGAAATAGAAAATATGCCGGACCGCCAAGTTTGCACTGCTACCTAATAGATGGCGCCAGTGGGTCCTCTCGTTCAGAGCCGTATATTGGGATAAATGTTGTAAGAGGTTTCAAGGCACCCAGTTCTAAGAGGTCGCAAGACAAAACGGGCCTTTAAGCACTGCCTACATCAATTCCACTGATAGCAAAGAACCCATTGCAAACATTGTACAGCGCACTGATTGACGGCAAATCTCTTTCAACACGACTTTCCACAACGCAGCAGTTACCGCTGTCAATTGCAACATTTTGCTTAATCGTTCGTAATTTTTCTTTTTTTATTCTTTACGAGTACTCAGTTATTCATTCTCACCACGAGCACAAAGCAAGTTTTGCTCATGGTTCATAAAGGGTGTGAGGGAGTTTGTAAAAAATTAGAATGCCAGAGGAAAAAAACATGTTGTTTTGCATTTGAAATGTTAAAATTAGATAAAATAACAAATTAGGGAAATTACTGCAATCAAATGCACAAGCTATACCCTACTTGTTTGTGCAGAAATGCACTAACAAGTATATCCTAAAAGCCTATAGCTTTCATTTACCATATTCTTTTTAGGCGAAACAGAGTTTAGTATCACGATCGGCCAACCTCCGAGCCTAGTTTTCCCTTTAAAAGGAAGCTGAAATGTTTCCGTATTTGAGCAAAAACACTTCAATCATCTTTGTTTGGCCTCCAGGATCACGAATATCGAGATTCTTTTTCTATTTGGTGCATGGAGGGTGCAGAAAATCAATTTCAAAGTACGCCGAAGCACCTCCATCCCAAAGCATTACGTCATAAAAAAAGTTTTCGGAATCTCCGCTCTCGCACATCTTCAGCCCCTATCGAAGCTATGCACGCGCACACTTGCTATTTTCAAAAAGGTTAAAAAAAAATTACAGGACTCCTAAGCATCGCCTTTAAGAGTGAATTACGATAGTTAAGTATGAACCCCCGCTCGTTCCCATGTCGATAGCGCGTCTGGCTCGCAACCTAAGGGCCGTGGGTTCAATACCCACGCGCCTAAAATTCTTCCAATTTTTTTTTAAGGATCATTAATTACTTTATAAAGTGAAATTGTTTGAGACATGCGCAAGGTCATGTGACTGCGATGTCATGACCCTATCAAGCAATCAGGATTTTCCCATCACGGCACCAACACCGACACTTCTGCGGTACGAGCTCCTTAAAGCTGTCGCTTTAAGATATGTTACGACTGGTGTCAGTGCAATGGAATATAGCTAGCAAGCTTGCAATTGCACAAGCTGCCCACACCAGCGACGCACGCTTGGCAGCCAAAAGATCATTTTATGACTGTAACGACTGGTCAGAGGTTTTTCTTGTTTTTACGTGTTCAGTTACATCTTTAGGGAAAACAAATGTGAAATTCAGATTCACGGGATAAAAATACTCTAGCATTCAGCTCCAACTTGTTTATTTTTTTCAGGAACTTCTTCAGTTTCCTTTTAACTAAGCTGAGCTGCAAAAAAATTTTGAAACTAGCTGCTCGTGGCCAAAAATCGGTTTCAGAAATTATGCCTGTACAGCTGTCCCGAAAAATTGCTCTCGCGTAAAGGTGGAATCAACATTCCTGTGATTCAAGCATTCTAATGAAATGTGACATTGTTGCAAGCCCTTTAAAGGGCTACAGCTCGCCATTTACGACGCAGTCTGCTTCGACTAAGTCTCAAGAAAGGCACACTGCATCACCAGTGAAGACGCAGGAGTGGGAACGTCCCGTTTTATTATCACAATGCCAGTAGCCAGCACTCACACGGGAAATATTAACAATGAAGAGTTACACGTCCAAATATAGTAAAACTGCATACTTCCGACGTTCCTAAAACTCTCACACACATCCGCTGCGGATGCGCCGCCTTCTTCACTGGCCATTCCCACAGAAAATCATCAGCATGGCACTAGGTATCTAACTCCGCACCCTCGCTCTCTGTACAACTGATGACTCCACTGCGTCCGCAAGTGACTTACAGCACGTTCGCACCCTCTCGCTTCTTCAAAACAGAAATCACCGATTGGCACAACGAAAAGTATATTTAGAAAAACGCTACAACGTAAACAAATCTGTCCAAAGAGACCAAAGCGTCGACTTAAGTACGCAAAAAAAAAATAGTGCGCACCGTTTCGTCCTTTTTGCCATCATGCAGATGAAACTGTGTGCACCGCTTCGTCCGCATAACTCGAAAGGAATGGTCCCTGCTTTCAAATCGGCCCTCGTAAAGGCGGTGAAAACTCGCAAAGCATGCCGATCGACCTCCGCACCCGCACTAATCGCCCCCAAGCAATTCCGAGAGTTTAGGGGCGTAACGGGGCAACCGTTGTAACAATCTCCTTTTCACGCCCGTCTCAAAGCCCGGCTCAAAAAAACGGAACTAAGAAAATATAAAAAGAAAATTTTGTGTTTTGAAACGCGCGCAGTTGCAAGGAAGACGTCGAAGGGCCATACTACGGCACCTGGAACGCCTCTCCGGCCGACGCGTTTACCGCCGCATCTCGCCCGCGCGTTGAAAGCGGTCCTGAAGCGGTGACGAAACGCGTCGCGTCGTGCCGTCGGACGTCGCGATCCCGGCAGTTGGTCGTAGAAACGCTGGCAAAAAAAATAGGCCACCAGCCGCAAGGCTCGCCGCCGTCGCAACGTCCCGTCTCGCGGCCGCTTCAGTTTCCGTCGACCGTCTGGCCACAGAGCTACCCACGGCACAAAAGGCGTCTGCTGCATCTGCCTCCGCCGCCACCGCCGCAACACCACTGGCATCGCGACAGGCGACGGCACGACGCTTTTAGGCGTCCTCGCGTGGGAATCGGAGGACCGCTTTCGTGGACCCGGCAAACGCGTTGGCAGGAGGCGTGCTCCGGGCTCGACGGACGAAGGTGTCCGCGTCGTGATGTGCGTGCGGGCGATGAGCCCGGTCCTGCAGCGGGGACTTTAGGCGGTGGCGTTCATCGACAGTAGGGCGTTGACGCTGGCATCCTTGTTCCCGCGGTGCGTCTCCAGCACCCCTCGGATGACCTCGGCGTCCATTCCCGGAAACATCTCTTGGACCTGGACGGAGAACGTCTGGGTTGGCAAGAAATCCGACGCCGCCTTTTCTCGCTCAAACTTCTGCCCTTGTAGCTTGGTTAAAAAGAAAAGATTAATTGCCCAGCTGGGCATTTTGTTGAATGCACCAGTTGTCATACATAGCACTGATATGCGGTTCCTACTCAGCTACGCAGCTTCCAGGGGGGGGGCTGAAGAGTGAAACAGTGTTAGCACACCACTTCACTAACCCCCCCCCCCCCCCTTTTGGACGATGTTATGCTATCGGCCGAGCGCACGATGTGACGTCAAATCGACAACTGCGCTGAATAATAACTTGGTGGCAGTCGCGATGAACTATTCTTATCAGTGCGTTAGATTTAAATGTAGTAGTAACTCAGGGTGGGTGAAAATATGTTGCAAGTGATGTTTCGATCACGGTCGTGCAAAATGGTGAAAAAAAAGATTGTACTCTCCAAGCCAACGAACGCGTCCTCTTCCAAACGTGGCGTGGTCTAGAGTCACTGTATGATGCTTGAGTATCGCAATCAATTGCATCCGTTGCGACTTCTATTTTCGCCTTTACGAGCCATTTTGATACCAAACATATACAGTGGAAGGGGCTTCATAGCTGCAAACCTCCGTCTCGCAAGCAGACGCACCACAAATCACCACCAAGGGCAGGATGCACCCAGGTCGGGATGCGCTGCCTGAAATTACCAGCGAGAAATGGTGGCACAAAAACAATATTAATTGCACCGCAAAACTGTGTAAACAAGACTTTATGAAAACGTCACGCTTCTGTCATTCTGTACTGATCTCCAATAAAAGGTCCTAGAAAATAACATTTCTCCCTTTGTTTTCATGCAAAAACATGCTTTCTAACGCTCATGGTGACCACAGTAAAAGAAAAAAGATTAAGTCTGCCACCTCGGTGCCTCAAGCCTGGGAGTTTTGGTACTCTGGGAACATTCAATGACTCTAACGTGGACTATGTGAAATTAACGTAAATTTTATGTGGCCAACGTGGTCCGCACAGTCTGCCATCCGAGCAATACAGAGTTTGAGCAGCACATTTGTTTCGTCCACCATTTTGCACGATCGTAATCAAAACATCATGCGCACCCTATTTCCAACCCTTAAGAGTTACTGCACCTGACCCTAACGCACTGACGAGAATAGTTTCTCACTACCGTAGAAAATCGCACATCCGCCCATACCACACTAAGCACCCATACCCAACTTTGTGAGATCTGAGAAAATATGCACAGTACATTGATATGTAAAATTAATGACCAGACAAGCACCCATCCCCCAGTTTTTCCCGATTATCTCTAAATTTCAATTGAGCCCGGTATTTTACGGTACCACCGCTAGGGGATATCTGGCTTCTGGTGGGCCAAGAGGGCATGCCCAGCCCTCTATCTGCATCTGGTACAAGCCCCAGCTCTGCCCGCCCCTTCTATCGACCAAACTCTCTCTATACAAGCTTGCAAGTCCGGTCTCAGGGTGCTGCCATCTTGCTGAGTGGGGTACGCTTGGGCACGAGCATAATCCGATTACGCCGCCTTAGCGAGGCTTCGTAGCAACATGTGGAATTTGTGACTAAAAGACTGCGTGCCATTTCAGCATATTTGCACAGGATAAGATGATTGTGTAGTGTAAAAAATAAAATTACTGGTGTTCAGATCTTTAGTTTATAGCTGAATCTATTCTATGGTATGAAATTATTTTATATGGGCAATGTTCTCAATAGAAGGCAAAATCAATAGACAACATTTTAAAACACTCGGTGAAAAACATTGCATACGGAACATTAGAGGTAGAAGATAAAACCAAAAAGCTCCATTTTATTTATTTTTTTATTTTTTAGACCTGTTAAGTTTATAAATTACAATTCTATGTTCATGATCCCAGTTGACAAGCATAGAGACCTAAGGCGTAGAGAGATCCAAGAACCCCAGAAGTTACAGACGGTATGGAAAGAGATGTAGAAATCACTATATTCCCACCTTAATTAAAGGAACAATGAAGTGATTTTCCAGCTCTTTTACAATTGAAGACTCCAATTAATCTTCACTGTTCATAGAACCCAGGAGCAGAAATCCATTTTCAATTTATTGCCTCCAGTTTTGCACACACAAAAAGGATTAAAAATTACAGGAAGCTTAAGCTTCCTGTAATTCCTACCCAAAAAGGTGAACTTTTGAACCATTCTATTAATTTCAATGAAAATTGCAGGGTAGAAAAAATCGCTAGGGTGCAGGCGAGCTGGTGAATATTAACCATGTTGCAATTAACCTGAGACTGGGGTAGAGAAGAAACATCAAAACGAGAAGGGACAGAAAATAGACAGGACGACGTCTCAAATTTGAGACAATTTGAGACATCGTCCTGTTTATTTTCTGTCCCTTCTACGTTTTGATGTTGCTTCTCTACCCCAGTCTCAGGTTAATTGCAACATGGTTGCAGGGTAGGTTTATATCACAGCCCAGACCAGATGTAGCTAACCTCATCATTCTAGCTTAATTCTGAAAGAAGTCATGCATTTTAGAAGATGAAAGAGGGTGTGTTTTTTTAAGAAAACTATTGTTTTGTAATACAAAGAAAATTTAGCAATCTTTTTGTGTTCTATAGTCTTAGGAATGGCCAAAGCACAAAAATTTGTGAAGTAATTTTTTAATGTTTTACTTCTTTTCATAACAAAAACATGACGCAACTTTTTTTTTCTTTACCCTCAATACCCTTCACCCCTCCTCCTCCTTAAGAGCTGCGCTCCAATTCGGTGTTACAGGGAGTTGTAAACGGCTTTCATTTTTTTATTTTATTTTTCTGGATCTGGACCTCTAACTCTAACGTGACAAAGGTCCGTTGCCTGTGGTATATTCCCTTGGTTTCACTAACGAGTGCCGCGACCGTGTTCCCCTTGGTACTACTACATTTTTATTTTTCTGTTTTGTATGTGTGTTTGGTTTGAATGTAGTTTTTTCATGCTCAAGAGCTTTTACTTGTACCATTAAATATTTTTTTTTCTTTTGATTTTGTTTCAATGATCCGTCTCTTTTGGTCTCTCTAAAAACGCTTTGCAACTGTATTTTCTGCACACTTGAAGAAGGGAAGTATCTTCCCAAAACGTTGTGTAACAAAGTCTCTCGTGCTGCACAAAACTTTTTTCTATGTTTAAAATTCTTTGGATATTTTCTTTAAGACAAATGAACTACTTTCTAAAGTGAAATCATTTTAAACATGTGGCTAACTTTAATTCAATTACATGCCATGTTTTAATCACTTTCATTTCACGCGTGACGTCACGTTTCATGCGAGCGTTGTGGGTTGTTTGAAATTCCCGCGCTAGGTCATGTGGCTGTGACGTCATGACCCTATCGATAATCAGAATTTTCTTGTCCGACGCCGACGCCAACCTTTCTGAGACACAAGCTCCTTAAATCTATCACTTTAAAACTCACATCTGGTTTCCTCTTCGACTCTGCCGGGCACCAACATGTGAAATCACGTGGTTATGACGTAAAGTATGCCTTTCTACCAGAAACGGAAGCCGAGTCAGTCAAGCATCGCATTGTGTCGAAACGACATTCTTGCGTCGACGTTTCAACGCAAGGACGTCAAAATGACATCACCCACTGCGGTTTTCATGAACGCCGATTGCTTCGTAGGACTCGTTGGTCCGCGCCGCTTGTGCAATCAATGCCATGACTTTGGATATGTTGCAGCTAAGTGAGCTTAAAATGTTTCGCTTATAGTGAAAGTATGGGCCTTGTCCCGTACGCCAGGACGCGACAAAACGAGAACTCGCCCGACGAAGGCTGTAGTAGTTCGGCGCAAAAACCGGCCACGGAGGAGTGGCGATTAATCAGTCGAGAATGGTAGATTCACATTTCGGCTGCGAACAGAAAAAGTTAGAAAGAAAGTAATATAAATTTCTAATAATTCGGTCCTTTGTAGGTGCACCTGCAAACATTGTACTGAGATGGCCACCACCCAAAAGAGTGTTTGTTGCCGGGAGTGCCCCGTCGCCGTCGAGCTTCAAAACCACGGGTGCATTACAGAGAATGCATATTTCCGTGTTTTGTGCCTGGACACCATCATTTTGAGCGTAGTCTCGCGGAGAAACCTCTCGTGCTTTCGTTGACGCTTCGGCTAATGCAACCGGATATTGAACTTGGACATTTCTGTCGAGGCTATTCATAGACAATTTCATTGTTTGTGAACAGAATTCGAGTGACAAACAACTCGTATCCAAGATGGAAGCTAAATTCAACCAATGTGAGAAAGAGGGGAAAAAAACTCCGACACTGTGGATGTTGCGGTTACTTTGCTAGGGGACGTAAGCTACCCCACATTACATAAATTTCCGCCACAACTGATTTATTAATCCACCCATTAATAGACTCACCGTTGTTGTGAACGTTCGAAGGAAAGAGTGTAAGATGTAGCCTGCTTTTATTTGCCAAGCTTAAGGATTTAGTCTTCCCAACCTTGCAAGCTAGATTTCTTCTGACCCCATAAACGATATGCAGTCATTAAAATTATGTCTATTTAACGAACTTGCTGAGCCTGTTAATGAGTAAATTTCATAAATTTACTAAAGTGCTCAAAATTTGGTGGCGCTCATCTACTCCTTAAACATTGCTATACTTTGATTGGGATTGTTATTGTCTTGCATTTATTGGATTTCCTTTTCTGCACAAGCAGGACGCTGCTTTTGTAGGCCAGCATTATTTTTATGTTTGTAAAATAAATAAAATCATTATTATTAAAAAAAAGAACTTTCAGCCTTTCCACTTTGGTGAAGAACGAAGACCAGCTAAGCTGTACTATGGTGGGAATGAAGTAATGGCCGGCCGCAAGTCGGCAAGCCAGAGTGGAAAGGCTGGAAACGTTGCGCCATCTACGAGCAACAACAGAAACCAGACAACCGGCAGCTCCGCTGTAAAAAAGTTGGTTTGGCAAACATTTTGCAGTGACAGTGATGTGATTGGCCTAAGCCATTTTGGCGCACGTTTCGGAGCAACCAAAACAGTGTTTTGGAGCAGCAAATGTGGCCTTTGGAGTAACCAAAACAGTGTTTTGGAGCAGCAAAAGCGGCTTTTGGAGCAGCCAAGACAGTGTTTCCGAGCAGCAAAAGTGGATTTTGGAGCAGATATTCTTAGGAAAATAAAAATATTTGTTTTAAGTGCTTTGCAAACGAAGGGCACTTTGTGTTGTGTTGTGTTCCGATGTGACGTGCTGTGACGGAACTCACTGCTTCTGTTTTTACTGCTCAGACATCCCACAAGTGTACAGTGCTGTAGGCATTGCCAAGCAATTTCGAAAAACCACTTGCCACCATTTTACCCGTTCCCGACGAGCCAGAATTTCGTCAAGAGTAAGAAAACGTAAAACAATGAATTGCAAGCATCCCAGCTGGTGCCTCAGTCACGCAATCATGTTCGCATGCGCGTGAGGCCAACTTCGGCAGGCTTGCTGTTGGGCATGCTTCGTCGCGCTAACGCAGACAATGTCTGTCCGATTGAAACCGAAATCATGCCCCTCAGCTCCGTCGCTAACTTATCTTCAAAATTGTACACAAAATGTAACTTTCGAGCATACGACAAAAACAGTCCCGTGGCACGTGCTTGCCAGGCCGGCAAACAAGATACAAGGTAAAAACAAAAAATAAAGAACCTGAGTGCATCGATGCAAGACATTGCGAGCCAGCTTCAAAAAGTTCTTGGAGTGCTTTGTGCAACGACTGAACTCGAGACAAACAAGCACGCTGTGCTGGTTCAGCGTGCAGACATTGCCTTTTTTGCTTTAGCTCACTTCTCTTCACCAACTTTCTTTCACGGCAGATTTTTCACGTATCGAGGTCCCTCTCGAAAGAAGGCCCGCCGAGAGGAATCTAGATAATCAATACTTTGACAGAGCAGTCTTTGAATTAAAGATGAATTTCTGTAGTAACGTACGATTTAAACAGGAACAGGAATGTTGATGAACATGCGGCGGTACTTAGGTTGATTTTAGAAAGTACCATATCTGCAGTGATGTGGGGACGGCAACATTCGACGTCGCACGACCACGGTGACTGAAAGGCACTGACCAAATATAATTTTCCCAAGGCTGTTGCCTCAGCTCACAAAGTAACTCCTGCCGCGCAAACACGTGGTTTGGTTTCACAGCATGACGGCATTGCTGGTACCCGGCACGCTATCGTCGGAGCGTCTGCACACATCCGCGTCTATCGCTGAAAATATAAAACAAAAGAGACGAGAGACGAGACCCACAAGACGAAAGTGCGAAACGCGAGACTCCGGGAAAACCATGCAAGACCCGGTGCCCGGTGGGCAATTGACGCACAGTACTTTGTGTCAGGCGGCCGCTTGCGCCACATAACACACGCCTGCTCAATTACAGTACTCAGTTTAGTTACGGTTTCGAAAGGCGACCTAAATTGCTCCTTTGGCGCAGGCTTGGCGCAGATTACCCATATTTTGGCGAAATGTAGCAGGATGTAGCAGGGTTAGTCCCTTAGCGCAGTTTGGCGCAATTGGCGCAGCAATCACATCACTGCAGTGAAATGACATTTCAAAATGGTTGCATGGTGCTTGCCTCTAAATTTTTCCAGACGGGCTGCGCCATGTGCTTAAACTGCGTCGTGCACTGCAGTCCCATGCACACTGCACAGTTTGTGCAAATTCCAGATCAATGGCAGCCTTGATATTAATTATGCGAGCTCTGAGCAAACAAACTACTGCAACACGCTGCACAACCCATCGTAGCTACCGCAACAGATTGCACTACCTACTGCAGATACAACTATTGGAAATGAGCACGCTGAGAAGGCCGGAGAGATGCAGGAGTATTCCCGTGAACTTGTCGTAAACCTATGTACCTAAGCTGTGATAGGTCGTCGTAACCTGAGGAAACGAAACTAAAGTCTGCTCAAACTATAATTAGGAAAAAATAAAAGCACTTCCCTTTTCGATGACGAGAAGAGCGCAACATCAACGAACGAAAGCAGAGAAGCAAATTAATTACAGTCGCTGACAGAATGGCGGGGAGACTCTTTCAGATGCCAACATATGCTCATTGCCGTTTGTCTCGCTTTGGCTGCTCGCGCGTGCTCGAAGCTCTAAAAGCGCCAAAACGCAACAACTAAAGCTGGAGACGAGCCAACTAAAACTCCTCCTCGTCGTTCGCATCTCTTCAGTGCATATCTCGCACAATGCAAAAAGTGAGCGGCAAGATACCTCAAACATGTTTTGCAGAGAGGTGACCCATAACAACCGGGTACAAAGTAATTCACCTGCTTGACATCATCGTCGGTGATGTTGACAGGGGCTGGCTGGTGGGCGACGGGAGGCAGGGCCGGGTTTGCCGCCGGTTGCGCCTGCACCATGCCCGGTTGTATCGCGGGTAGGCCGTACCCCGGATATCCAAAGCCTGCATATCGCGGAAAAGGAACCATCACGGGCCCGAACTACTGATCCGGGAATGGAAGAAAAAAAAAATCCCATTTGCTGAATTCGTACGACCGTGACCAGATGTGCAACTTGAAAATAAGAAATGTGCGTGTCGCAAAATAAAGTTTACCCTAAAAAAAGAAAACTTCTCACTGCAATATTTACGATGCGAGACACATGTTGAATTGGCGCAATGCTGAAGCCTGCTTCTACTATAAAATGTCACCTTCAAATAAAATTAATTTTCTGAATCGCTCCTAGAGATGCTCGGCTCCCAAAAATAATTTTGTTAGGTGCCTGGACATCCCACAATGAATTTTCCCGAAAAAAGTTTGTAAGCGCAATGATTAGCTCAAGGGACTCAATTAGAGTGAGGAGAGATTCCAAAATGCGCTCCTTTTTCGGCAAGTCGACCCAAACTAAAAGCATCCTGCTGGACCAGAAATGAGCCTCGTGACAATAAAATGTCACGCAACAATGTTTGTTTTGTTCTCCTTTTGGGGGAAGGTTTATTTTTCTACATATGTGTCTTGTTAAGGCAGTCTAAAAAACTCCTTCTTTGGGGGTTGAAATCAGCATTCCTTTAACCTTTTGACGGTCGAGACATTTAAAAAAAAAAAAAAATGTTTCCCAAGGGTGCGGTTTTGTTTTCAACGAAATAGTATAAAGAAAAAGTCAATTTACAGGGTTTTTTTCTGACATACCTAGCGGGAGCACGTACAGTGCTCATAAGCTGTTCAGGTTTAGATGCATCAAATGGAACTAATGAAGGCGAAACATTGTCAACTTTCTTCCATTCGGTTTTCATATTGGTGCATCCGCTACCGGTGGTTTCAGATTCTGAATCGAGGGTGCTTTACGCAGCTTCTCCATCAGAAGGCAAGCTCCCATCCTCTGAATTCAATCTCAGAAGGATTATAAGTCTGAATCGTGAGAGCCGGCGCCCCGGTTTTCACCGCCGCCGGAGCAGCCGACATGCGAAGCGACCCACTCGTGCGTATTACGTGCACACAGCGTCCAATTTCCAAACTATCCCCAGCAAAGCAAACAATTTTGCGAATGTGCGCACATAACATTCCTAGTTCGCCAGTAGGAAGTTTTAGAATAACGTATGCAATTATAGCGCACGCTAGCGCTAAATTTAGTGCTTGCGTTAGCACACGCGGCGCATGAGAGTTTTAGAATAGCGTTTCTCCACCGCGACGCAAAAGCCGAAGCATCTCGCGCTTGCAACGCCGCCAAGATACAGTCACGATTTTATTTCACACACGAAATGCAGTAACTTGAGAAAAAACAAGTTTTTTGGTCCAGAGTGACAATTTACATTTGTTTAAACGGGAGAATGCGACGTAAGCGGTCGACCGGTCGTGTCCGCATGTTTCGCCTCGGCAAGAAAGGTCTCGTGTACGGACCTTTGCCGATAAATGTTCGCGCGCCGCAAGCATCAAGTTGCCGGTGATCATTGTCTGCCTTTCTGGGTTTTGCAATAGAAAATCGCAGTCGCGAGGATGCCACCGACGTCATGCTCACGTCACAACGCCGCCAAAGCGGCCGCAGCCATGATCCTGGAAGTTGCCATTTTTTTAACTCTGCTCGTCTTGGCTTTAGCCAAATTCTCATTACGAGTCCACCTTGGAGGAGCACAAAGACTCTTTGCGTCCTTTGAGTATGCACGCAATTTCCAAAAAATAGCGTACGCTAAAATAGCGCACGCAAAGCGCAAAACGTGGTTAACGTTCGGCGCATGCGCAGTGGCGACAACGCTATTCTTTGCGTACGCCAAGCTTTAGAGTACGCTGTTTTAAAACTTCCTAGTGACACAACCAATAGCAACACCTCCAGCGATTTTGCGTTTAAGTGGCCACTTTCCAACGTGTAATCGTCGCAGTAGGTGTACGGCGACGGCCGTCAAAGGGTTAACGGACCGTCGGCTGCCACTCTGCGAGGCTTGGACACCGACGCAAGGAAACAAGGGCCGGTTTCTAAAAATTGCGCGCACGAACAAACAAGACAGAGAGGGGATGCAGTGTTACCAGTGGATGCCGGGTACTGCACCATGCCGGGCATCATGTAAGGGGTGTTGACCACCACCACCGGGGACGGAGCCGCGAGAGCGCCAGGGGGCAGCGGCTGCAATGGGAAACACGTCTCAGTCCTCGCCTTCCCAACAAAGCAGCCCCGATGCCTCCACTTGTTAAGGAGCTTGAGGATGGCATACCGGTATAAGTGCATGTCATGAATATTGGCCAAGATTGCACCAGGGAGTGTTTCAGAAACGTTTCTTTGCCATAATTTAAAACACGAGCGTCTAGTGTATGCAGTGCTCGGTAGACCCTGCAGTTGGTAGCTTGCACCACCTAGCCTGGAAACCCCCCAGAAAAAAGTAGGACTTCTCCCTTTTGCCCTTTTTAAGACAATTTCCGTTCCTTCTGCATTTTTGTAACTATTGCCAAGCAGTGCGCGATATTGCCAGGATGATCTTTGGGCGATCGGGCAAAAGAACCTGAGAATGTCAGCCCTGCCTTCCACCCCTGGCAAAGGAGCCACCAATTGTTTTCTGGTCAAACCTGGTCGTCGTAACCCCAACACCAGGCCCACTGGGAAACAGGCTTGAGACTTGGGGCTGGAGCCACGCAGGAGGGAGTTCGAATTTTTCTCTTTCCCACCTGTCCCCAGCTGTGCTTAGTTAGTTTTACTTTAATTAAATTTTCCCTAGATAATTTCCACCAATCTGACAACCCCCCCCCCCCCTCCCCCCAAACTTCCACCAAAAAAAAACAACGAAAAACTACACCAATTGTTTTGTGACCCTCTCAGCTATCGAGAGATTTCCGTAGGATTGTCGGTTATACGGTAGCTGTGACTCGAACTTTTCGAGGTTTAAAGCAATTCTTGGTATTGAATTAAAAAGACTGACATTTCTTGGAGTGAACGTCCAAGTAAACGGGACAGGGGCATGGGATTCCTCAATCTGAAGGGAACAAGTGTGTGACCTGAAGACTTGGAAAATATTTCAATACCGACAAGAAAGAAAAAACAATGGAGTCTAGTCCCCAAAGAAAGAAGCAGCTTCACAAAGAACTCAGCAAGGGCCGTGTTCTAGGTCAACGCGAAATGAAGGTATAGATAAAGGTGAGGAGAATGCCAACCCAGTGTATTCACACACTGTATCTCAGAGTTTGTGGAACAAAAGCCTGCGCTGCCGAACCCGAGAATCCTGGGTTCAAAGCCCCTTCCCCCCCTTGACCCTTTCGATCTGGGTGAGCACTGTATTGGCATGCGGTCGTGTGTCACTACTGCATGATGCATGTTAAAGACCCCGAACTAGCAGCAGTACTGCACTGGCGAAATTTTTCATCTACAGCTGACAACAAACACCCGTTAAGAAATCATTAAAGTGAAGAAGAAACATTTTTTTAAAAGGCTAGATGGGGGACACATAATTTTGTCTTAACTTTTTTATGAACAAGCAATTTTTTTTAGCAATAGTTACGTCGTTAGATACAATCTACGGGGGGGGGGGGGGGGGTAGCCCTGCTAGAGGCCCCGCCCAGTGCTTAGCTAGTTAAGCCCCTTTTCTCAGCTTCCATTGGTTGGAGAGATGATTGACATGTGAAATGTTTGATGTAGAATTGTTTCTCTGTGCCATAATAGTATTTCTAGCGACAATATTTTCATATTTGAGAGACAAATAACCCAGAAAGAGTCATTATTGTTTCCAAAATATCCAAGATTGCCTTTCCGCTTCGGTTTCAAATGATAATGGCATTTGCAGAGCGTGGCTCGTTCATTCTTATGAGTGCGAGTCTTCTCCGTTCACCAAGGTATTTCAAGGAAGATCTTCTCAACCGACTTATTTTGCAGCAAACAACTGTCTCAAGTATGCGCCTTCAGAAGCGATGTGCGTGTGCTTGTTTTCATAGCGGGACAGGCCTAAGCCTAGCCTCCTACATCAACTACGTTGCTAGTCTAGCTTCATTTGTTCACTTGCGCGTGCCCATGCTGGTTTCCATAAAAGCGGCCCCACTGCTCCATAAATTGTGCAACCGGGAAATCGGTGGCCGAGTGGGCTAGCGCACACCAGTTCGGAGCACGTGGAGCGAAAGCTCCTGCTGCAGAACCCAGCATCCTGGGTTCAATCCTCACCCCCTGTCCATTTCGATCTGGATGAGCATCGTACCAGCAAGCAGTCGTGTATCACTGCTGCGTGGTGTACGTTAAAGACCCCAGGCTAGCGGTTCTTCTGCACTGGCTACATTGCTCATCTACAGCTGAGAGACAAGTCACCCATTGAGGCAGACTAAGTACAGGCTGTATGAACATACCCACAACCCAATTTTTTTTATTTTTTTATGAATTGTGCATTTGTTGTGATTACAACCATGGTTAGAAGGTACCTATAAGGTAAGAATTTGGAGCCATTTGGCTCCTGGCGATTGGGCATTCGACTCACATCAAGTTTGTCTAGGTATGTTCCAGTTATTTCGCTTCTAAAAGCAAGTAGCTCTCAAATTGTGCAGTGCACCTGGCTTGCCAAAGCTAGTATTTTTACATCATGTTTTAATTGTGCATCATGACACTCACCCACTTTTCTCCCGCATGCCATACGAAAAATATAACAATAGTAAAGGGTGGAAAAACTGCATATTTATTTTGTTGATTTTTTTTAGTCCTCTCGGTCGCTTATTATCGCTCACTGATAGACGCTGACAGACGCTTGTATTGGACCAAGGCTCGTGCATGATGAAAAGCCAGATTTCGCTTTCATGGTTTGCGTCTTGCGAGCGTTAAAGGTTTTAGACGGGGGTGGAATAGCAGACGAACGAAGGCAGAAATGGATGCCGACGCGCACCTTTCGTGTCGGCGTCGTACGGGCATTGCAGACAACGATAGACGGTGGTGGAATAGCAGACGATGCCAGAAGCTGCCGCGCATCTTCTCGCACGACTAGCACGCGGTGTCAGACGCCAGACTGGATGTACCAGATGTCACAAAAAGGAGACACTAGGCTTGCTAGCGTGTTCAAACGAACAGCCAAGCCAATCCGGTAGTAACGGGCGGGGCCACTGATCTGCGGGCGGGCCTTAAAGGAGTCATGAAGCGCTTTTTCAACTTTTTTCTGTTTAGCTTTCCTCCTCAACTCATAAATCGCGCATTGTACCAAACAGTTCAAGAAGTCGGAAAGGTTGGAGTCCCCTCTTGCTCGGAATCTCGCTTAAGTAGCCGGACACAGCCATTGTCCCCCTAGAAGATTAGCCCGTCGCTCAAAATTCCGACTAGTTGCTTTCCCCACCCCGTTCACCCCGAAGCTGACAGTGCTGTGGAAGCTACATGCTCGTTGGGCCAGCCACACATTTTCCACGTGATCACGCTCTCTCGCACATACCGACCCGCAGAGAATGAGGTCAGGTGATGAAAGGGAGGCGGTTGATTGGTCCAGCAAGCGCAGCTTCCACCGCAATGTCAGCTCAGGGGTAAAGGGATTAAGTGAGGTCCGGTGTCGTGTGACGTGCGCTTGGGTCCTGGTGACGCGCTGCGGGGGCCCGGTTATGGTGGCTAGTAGCCCGGTGACGCGCTGTGGGGTCCGCGGATATATCACAGTGAAAAGGCGGAAAGTTTACGAAGGGAAGGAGGTACGAAATAGTCCGCTATGTTTTGCAAATTTTCGTAGCGAAAGTCAGGCTTCTGACTTTCTACCTTTGTTCTTTTGGCCCACTGAACGATGTGCTATTAGCAAAATCCCAATATAAATTGATTTACTCCAGCCCAAAATTTGTTTCATGGGTCCTTTAAAGCAGGCCGTGACTTCCACCTAAATTGCGCCCAACGTAAATATCGTGCAAAAAACAATTAAGACAAATGCATCCCATTTATGCCTTTAAAAAAAATTTTTTATTTATGGGCACTTTTAAAGGGATGCTGAACCAAAATCCGGATTCCACAAAACACGCCGGCAAAAGCGTGCAATGGGATACAAACACCGAAACATTACTCGTACAGTGATATCTCGAACGGATGAACGTATTTCTGAAAAAAAAGGAGGCGCATTTGACAGATATGTTTACGTCTTGTTTTTCCGAGAAGGAGAGGGAACAGCCTCGAGTCTTCTCCACCTCGCCGCCTTGAGGGGGTGAAGCGAAGAGAGGAGGGAACGAGATATCTTGACGACACATGCCTCGTCGGCCTGGTTCAATCTCGACCTCTTTGTTCCAAAAATACGGCCGTCCATTCGAGATATCGCCTTACAAGTAGTGTCTTAGGGATAGTACTGTCCCGCCTACATCTCATGCATTGTTTTTTCTAAATCCAAATTTCGGTTCACCATTTCTTTAAGGTTAACTAACTTCCGGCTGTATAAGCACGCACACAATACAATTACTTTTTTAAAGGTTTTCTTCCGTGAAGCTTGGGTCTTTCTTATGCGAGAGGAGCTTCAATTCGGAACTATTCTGATTTTGACTGAACCAACTCGGGGGAATGTCGGCACATTCCAAAAACACGAAATTCTAGTAACCACAAACCGCTACCTCGGCAAGTAGTGCCTATGAAAACAAAAAAGAAACTACAAAACTTTTTCTTCCACGGGACTTGCGAGGTTTATACTTACGAGGGGAACCATCTGGTGGGAAATGGCACAAAACGACCACGTAAAGAGGGGAACTCGCACGGCAGCTTAGTCAACACTAGAGTGGCTCAAGAAGCTACGCTCACAATATCGGCACTCCATTCGCTCTGCGCAGTGCAGGCGCAACTGGTGATCGTTGCGATTCGAAATGTTATTTCCCGAGCTTCAGATAGCACAGGCAATACTGTCTCCATTGGCACAGACTACTCTGGCATTTTTGGAGGAGACGGAAAAGCGTGTCCCGCAATTTCGGACGAGGCTTCTGACGACCAACAACAATAATTTTAAGCGCCGAGGTGGCCGAAGTGCTGTCACTTCGAAGCGTAGCTTTCTCAGGCTTTAGTCGGCGCTAACGGCTAGTATACAGACAATGTTGGGCGCCCACCTGGTAGGACATGACAAGGTTGATGGCGCCCTCCTTGAGCTCCCCCTGCCTCCCGGACAGCGGGTGCCAGATGTCGCACGTCTCGCCGGAGAAGGTGGCCTCCGGCACCACGACGTGGGCCCAGGCAATCTTCTCGTTCACTGTGAATGCACACTGCACATACGGAGCATTAACGAGGTCAACCACGAGCGCGCGGAAATTTTACTCGCTCTCACGGTTTGATGTTACTTGGTTACCATCGCAGAAAGACCCCCTTTTCAAATAAACAGTTCAAAAAGCAAAACGTCCATCTCTACTTCCGTAATTATGGCAATCAACATGGAATAAATAGCCGCCTAAGAGTTCCTTCCTGTGTCGTCTATAGGCCTTCAAATTCGTTATTGGTTGTTTTGTCTCCCTGGGTGGTGAGTCTTTTTACCGCGGTCCCTCGGAAAGTGTGTCAGCGGGGTTCTGTTGTAATCACCTCGTAGAAGGTGATCTTATTGCAAGACCAGATTTCGTGCCCGCTGATCTCGCATTTTTTCAAAGCCGATCAGAAGTTTCCGTCAAACGCTAAGCTCGAAAGAACTTTAACACGTTCACGCGCTCGTGGGACGGCTCTCTTGTGGGTGGACCGGGTTCAGATCCCGCTGGTTGTTTTGCATATTACGTTATTCTCCCTAGTTACTGTGCATTCTGGAAAAGAACCTTCATGAACAGAAACCAAGTGCAAAAACAGCTGTAGAAGACTGCACGAAGTAGGTTTTCCACTAGTGCTCAGTCCCACTACCACTCCGACTTCGATTCCCACAACGGTCATTATTGTACTTTTATTCTGGCACAACTCCGCCGCATTAAACATTTAGTTTTCTTAGTTATTCGTTAACCCTTCCCTCGTCATCTGCATTAGGGTTAGTATTGATCTGTGTATCACATGTCAGATATTCAGCTTACTGTATTTAGATTAAAATGTGCAAAGGTGTGACACATACACTGCGGCCTATAGGAGACATTACCTCAAGCAGTGTAAGTGGCCATTTCACTTTTGTTTGCATACCACGTTTTTTTGCGGATGGACAACTTCCACCATCTATGAGACTCGGTGAGAAGTAGCGGTTGCTTTATGCGTGATGCAGGCAGAGGATGCTGGGTTTTCGCACTCAAATTAGGCTCATGCAATAGTGGTTTAGATCAAATAGTGCTGAGTCATTGAAAGCCTCCACAGCACGAAAAAAAAAAAGCCTCAACGTACCAGCTTTTTCTGCACTGTTAAGCTAGGATAACACTGCATTATTCAACTCAAAGCAACATTCGTGCATCCCCACTAAACATGCATAAAAAAAGTGCTTCGCTCTTCGTTCTGGTTATTGTACCGAGCTGAGAATTTTGCACTCGGCCACTGCCACTGCAGCCACCTTCCTGCGAAGTTTCGGCGTTTCGTGAGGTGCAGCTAGTTTACGCGCTGCGAAAGACCACTGAATAGCTTCTTCGACATGCCCCGTAACCGTCGCCATAGTTCCCGACACGAGAGACCCACTCACCTCGTCGTAGATCTCGACATGAAAGGCGGTGACCCCCGGCGACAGGAAGCTGGTAAAAAAAGAAAGCAGAAGGCAAAACACACCCCTGTAACTCTAAGGCTATGGACTGTGCTGAACTGCAGCCACTGATACTCCCAGGCTTCCTTTCAGAACCACACTCAGGTGATGAAATCGATGGCTACCATATGGCGGCCCTGTAGAACTGAATCGAATCGGGGCGAGAAGAGTGCGAGGAGTTGGCTGGTGAGCGAGCAAATCAGTTGTTGTACTTTGCTCGCAATGCTGCAGACTGTATATACTTCATATAAAAATCTTTAACGAAATTCAAGAGGCCTACTACTTTCTGACCGGGCGTAACTCATTTGCTGTTCAAAGCTTCAATGTGGCCGACATTACCCAGTATTACCTATGGGACCTTGGTAAATTATGCACAAAAGCACCAATCACTGCTCTCCAGACACCAAAAAAAAAAAAAGTTGTGAATTCTGTTTTACAAAATCTTTATGAAAGGTTAGTAAATGAACCGGATAAAAGGACCGCCTGGCCTAGGCCTTCTGTCACATGCAGCGATGGTGCAACAGAGCTTGATGGGTTTGTAACAGGCACCACTTTCTATCAGACTTCAGAGGGTATATATTCCCGCTAAGTGCGACGTCTTGTCACGTCATGCCACAGCGTCGTGCGACAATGTGATGTCGTGTGACACCACAAAGATTTCCCCGCTAAATTTAGCGGAGCAATTTATGTCTCGTGTCCTGGTGTCATGTACCGCAAGGTATCATGGAAGCGCCCACTTTATACGAGTACCCACTACCAGCGTTCTCGAAACTTGGGAATTCTGCAAAATATATGTTAACTACCCAACCCTTCCAAAGCGGCGGCATCAGCCGAAAATATTAACTCCGTTTTGACGGCAACTAGACCACCAGCGGCAATGACGGGGATCTTATGTGAAAATAAATCTGCTTCCTCCGATTTCATTCAACCTCTCTCCAAAGCTCTTTACTGGCCCCCACTTACTTCGCTCTTACCGACTGGGCCAGACAATCGCCCATTTCCAGATTAGCACAGTTTTCAGTGAGAGCGGGGTGGGCACTTGCCCAGTATTTTACAGTAATGTCAGGTGGCATGACCGAGTTACATGACCTCAGTTCACCTAACATCAATTTTTCCGCTAACTTTAGAGGGGAAATTGATGTCACGCAACGACACCGTGACGCCGCGCGACGTTGTGGCATCGCGCGGTAAACCAATGTGAGCAACAGAAACCCGTGGAGGGTTTCCAACTAAAGGGAAGCTGAAGCGGTTTTGTATCCGAGAAAACACACTTAAATCGTTTTCTTTTGACCTCCAGAATCTCGAATACCGAAATTATTTTTCAATTTGGTGCGACGAGGCTGCAGAAAGTAATTTCCAAAGCACCCCAAGGCCCTCCTTCCCGAAGCGTGACGTCATAAAAGGAGTCTTCAGGATCTCCACTCTTGCACGTCCTCGGCGCCTACCAAAGCCATGCATGCACGCGTTTGCTATTTTTTAAAAAATGCAGAGAAAGACATCACAACTGTTGCCGGTGCGAGGAAAAATACCTGGCAAGCTTGCAATTGCACGCACGAGCGACACGCGATTGGCGGCTGAAAGATCCTCTCGCGACGTCCCAATTGGTTTCTCGCGTTTATTTACATCTTCGGTGGAAAGGGACGCAATATCCAGATTCACAAAATAAAACTATGCTAGAATCAACCTCTATCTCTTTTCTTGAAAGTGCTTCAGCTTACCTTGAAAGTCATCGCTTTAAAAATCCAAAACATGTGCATGAACTCACCAGTGGAAGATCTTGTTCCAGTGGGGGTTCTTGGCGCCATTGTAGTCAGTGTGCGTCTCATACACATTGTGGCCTATCCTGATCCGCACGTACGGATCCATTCTCGTCACTCCGTAATTCTTCACCAGTTTGGCCTGCGGAAGTGCAAGGCAGACCCAATTTGGCGTGAATAAAGAAACGAGACAATAGCATCAATGTTCCCTCCAATCCATTTCTACGCCGAAACACATGTATGCAGATGTAGATTTAAAGGCACACTCCATGGAAATAGACGTACATTAAGAATCACTCCGAAATCAAAATGCATCTCGCCACGTAACGTTTATTTTTTGACAATTTTTTTTTTTTGTATGAGATATATGTGTTTTATTCAATGTGTTTCGGGAGTTCAATGTTTCCCTAAAGCAGAAGTCATGCAAGTGTAACTTTCTGTTCAAGATTAAAATCTCCTAAACTTCTGTTTCATTCTCCATGCCCGATGCTGCATTAAATGGACCAATTCTGCCCAATCCCTCGACGGTCCACTTCAAGATCCTACCTATTGACTAAAGATAGAAGATTTGAGTTTTTCCTTCTGAGCCCCTTGTTTTCCCTCTGCAGGGATTATTATCGTTAATCATGTCCAGTTTGCTTGCACCTCTGCATTATCAGTAAACTTTTGTACTTTTTGTTCGGTCGAAAGACTGCCAGTGACGCCTTTCTTCCGCCGTAGTATCGCAACGTGTTTCCGATAATGTCAATATACGACAGATCGTAAGCAACTAACTGCCCACCACTAGTCAGTGACAGCTAAAAAAAACGTCGGGCGTGGCTAATTATGTCCCCGTTCTTTGTAACGAGGTTCGCAACGTTTTTGTGAACTGACATCGCTATCGCATTGGTGGCGGAGCGATAACAATATGCTCGAAACTCGCCACGCCCTCCATTTCTTAAGCTGTCAGCAATAAAACAATTCCCTTCGGTGCTCCCCTTAAACTAAAAAAGAACTCCCTTGCAATTCGAGACTTCTCTCGGTTCGGCAGATGAACGACCACAACCAATGCAAAGTGGATGGGGTGCACCTCGCTGGAACGCTTCGACTGACGCCCCACGCACCTCGATGACAGAAATGGTGAGCCTCCCCACAGCCTGCGCGGTCCTGAACGCTGCGCCCGACAGCTGGTGCTGAAGCGCCAAGGCTGCCTGCTCGTCGGCGCTGATCTGGCGCTGGGCCCGGGTCACCTCCAGGCGCAGGAAGTCCCCTGGAAGCTCCCCGATCAGCACCTGGAGGCACGAGAAACACGCCACAGATGAGACGTGATTCACCAGCATCCCGTTGGCAACGGCTAGCCAGAAGTCACGGCGACGGCCTGCAGCAAGCCGGCTCAGCCGGGGCTGCCAAGCACTTGGCCAAGACCAGCCATTTACTCCCCTGTGTTGGGCAGTGGTCGGTGGGCATCCACTAGAGCTACCGGTATTGCCACTTGCAACGCGTTAGAAATCTTCGAACACAGTCAAAGATAAACCTAAACAAAATATGAATTCAAAACATTGCTAGTGTGACTTGTGCACGCAAAATAGCCTGAGAGTGTTCTTAGAGGACAGCAATGCTACGAACTTAATAAGAAACTTGTCACTGTAGTTCTGGGCTGAGAATTCAAAAGCTCCGTCCCCAGCATGCGCTCGTTGTCACCCACCAGACTTTGGCTGTGTGTGTGATGAAGTGTTATCAAAGGCAGAAAGATTGCATTGAAGGCAGAGCATCAACTGAATTCTTAACCTGTCGCCAGTACTGTAGAATACATTGGCAAATTGGGCTAAAAGCACAGTCAATGGATTAGAAGCCAACAACTGTGGAGAGAAAAGAGCCGTGTTTCTTCCGTTTAGTTGAGCCGCGTTTCTCCCGATTAGCGCTATCGCACCCGACAGAAGGTTGCGAGAACTATGTTGCTCCTTTTATGTCTGCCAATGTGCTCAGGATGGCATCCAGCGTTCATGAGGACAGAAGCAAAAATCACACAGTAGCTTAAAAGGTAGCTAAAAGTAGCTAAGGTCATCAGTGATGTGTTATTGCAATGTGCTCTGAAATGTCACTAAACCTAGGGACAAAATCCCCAAAATAGCAACAATAAGAGCCGCCCTATGATCCTGGGGTGCCAAAACTTCCGGCCTTTGTTTCGGAACTGTGCTGTACCACTGCAATAAATGGCTTTAAACTTGCAGCTACATACAATTGCACCGAATCGGACAAGTGGGAAAACGGGATGGCGTTGTCCTTTCACAGATTAAATTAGAAGTTACCCGATGTAGGAACCCCCAGCAAAAATCACCACGCCCATCACCTTACAACTGGCCACAAGTTGCCTGCTCTTCAGCCCTCCTGCCTAATCGGTTGCTTCGTTTTTGTGCTTTTCTTGGCTTCAAGATGGCCAACTTCAGCCAATCGGAACGATTAACTGGTTCGATCCTCCAGTTGGATGCAGTGTTCTGGAAACAATCGGTAGCGCTAGCGTCCATGAATGCAATAGGTCTACATCTGCAGGGCAGAACTCAACTTCACATTCAAGTCATCCGCAATTAAGGTATCCAGAATTCGCAAGAGATTATCGACGCACAAAATCCCTTTGGCATATCAGCATGAAGAAAAAAAATACTCCGTCAATTCGATCAGCTGTCTTCATTTGATGTATTTTAAACGGATAAGAGCCGAGTTTGAAGGAACAGCAAGGGAAAGAGAAAGTTACAAAGCACGAGGCTTGACTTGCAAAGTCAAGCCTCGTGGCGTCCTATAAACGTTTTCTGTTTCCCGTCGTTCTCAGTCACGTGGCTTCCGTATCTATTATGCGGGACACAAAAATAGTAAAACATTTCAACCTGCAATATGCAAGAAAATATAGACGAGACAAAACAAGAAGGTGTGACAATCACGCATTTTTCGTAAACACCTTCCAGCGGCATGGAGAGATCAAAACGATGTTTCACCGCACACCAGAAGTGACGATATTCAAGATAGCTGCGCCCTTGTGGAAAAGGTGTACACATTTCCGTGCCTGTCTTCCGAAGCCCATTATTTCAAAAAGTGTACCAAACAGCCCAGTTAGTCACTTACAGTTGCATTTTACTTCAATCCTAGTATCTCGTACGTGAGTTCTATGGGGTTCAAATTTTTGCAGCGTGCAAAATACAAAGTAGGAACAATCAAACTTTCTTTTCTTCCGATGCATCACAGTGTGGATTCCTGTCGGTATAAATATGCATGCAAAATATGAGTGTGTCAACACACTGTAGCTTGAAGCGCACGAAGCAGAGGCTTGTACTGCAGAGCCCAGGGGTCCTGATTTCAATGCTCTCGCTCTCCTTCGCCTTCGCCTCAGCCTCCGCCTCCCCCTCCCCCTGCCGTTACACTGCCGAAATTTGTCATCTAGAGCAGACACACCAGACGACCATTGGGGCCGACTAACTTCCTACCATCTAAACAACAACGCTGGTCCTAGCACGACCCTTCGACCCTTCAAACGAGAGCGCGGCCAGGGAAGGTCCTTCTGACGACCTAGTTTCATGGCGTGTTGTGTATTCCCGCAAAAAGATACCAACAGTGGAACAAGAAAGCGAGCCAATTAAATCGGCGGGCAGGAAGCCCTGACCAAGATGATCTGCCAAACCACAAAAAACAGAGCCAAAGAGTTTTATCTTATCCAGAAGCCTAGTGAGCAGTCTCATCTTTCAGATAAGATACACACATAGAATGATAGAAGTGGGTTGCTGGCTGCAATGGGCACACCAAGTTTACGAGGTACGGGCAATTCAAACCGCAAGGTTTTGGGGTTGTTTTTTTCTTTTTCCACAAAACAAAGTGTGAGTTGCTCACAAGTGAAACCGAGATATGCCAAAACTATTTCTTAATGCTTAGTATCGAAAAAACCTTTTCGTGTGCGTGTTGGTTTTGAATGACATAGTGGACCTTCTGAATAGATGCAAAGATGCTTTTTAATTGCTGGGTTATTACGATGTCATTTCAAGCATTATAAAGAACTGTGATGCGTTATTTCTAGGGCTGGGCATTGATTGAAAGTTTTAACCCAATTAATCATCACCCTTTAATCCATTAATCACACTCACATATTATAACTTCAGCTGCACGAGGTGAAGAGGTTCATTGATATTATCCGGCAAGAGCAACCTCCTTTGATTGTTCACACTATAGTCTCTGCTGTGCTAAACAAACACTCGAGCAGCGTTCAAGTGGCCGAAACACGTGTAACCTCCTGCGCACCCCCCCATCCCCCCCCCCCCCCCCTTCTCAGGACTTACAAATCTTGCCCTACAGTTTACTTTAGGCTACATCTTGACCTAACGTTTGCCCATCATACAGATGTTCTCGTCCACATCTGAGTCGTAAAACCATTTACTTTTTATTTTATTTTGGTTTGTTAAAATATTACTGATTAACTGGTTAATAAATTAATCATGATTAAAGCATTAGTTGCTTAATTGGTAGGTTAATCAATCAATTGCCCAGCCCTAGTTATTTCTGTTTGTGTGTGTTTTGCATACTAGGTTAGAGAATGCGCAACTATGGTATGTTAAATATATAAATAAAATAAAGAGAGCTAAATCAGTGTCTTGGCATTACGAAAGAAACATTATCCTCCCAGAGGCATCAGGCATGAAAAATGAGCCTAGAAGTATTTCAGATTCCTCTATACCTCCAAGAACTTGAAGCACAAACTAACTGCATTTCCATCAATCACGGATTGCCAAACATTAGAACACCAAAAACATATTCGTTGAGAAGAATAATACGTTGTTTCCCTATTAGTACACATCCTTGCATTATTTTTAATTCAGATTGACATGTCCAATGTAAATTGATTTACGTCACCTGATTTGCAAAGTAGGCAAACATGTGCAGCAAGCTGACGTCCAAAGCAACTGCCTTGCACCGCATGGGCAGTTCTCAGGGTGCTCTCTTACTCACTCACTTCGAACAGTTACGGACAGTTACCTTCGCAAGTCATCCGCATTCTCAGATCCTGTTGAACGCAACATGACCTGCAGCCAAACCTGATCAAAGCATTATATGTGATTCAGCAACACAAACATCAGATTTGTAGTGACCCCAAACAAGCTACAGTACCGCTTGTTCACTAACATGTTTGTGTGTGGCCAGCTCATGACGGTGAAGAGGCTGTTCAAAAGGGTGACATGTGTGCCAACAGATTGTCATTCAAACAACACATTCTTGCGACTAATATATATATATATGTATGTTTCTCTTTTGCTGTGGTTCGATTTTGTTTGCTGAAAGCATACAGGATGTGCTCATCTGTTTTCTCGTTGATTTCTAGAGCACTACAAATCCATGACAAACCGTGGCAAAGAAAACAAAAAAAAGAGACGTAGAGGAAACGTCAACGGCTTTTTTCTGTGTATCCCTGAAACGAGCGCAGGGTCGTTTGGACAAAATGGTTTCCCGACCAAACATCGCAGTGTGTACGAAACAGCGTCGATTGACGAACTGGCACCTATTACAATTAAACCACTAGAGAAAACCCCCAAGACTCATGAATGGAGTGTTTGTGGCACTTGAACTCTGCCGACGACGCATCCCCCAGTTTACCCGGGGGCCAATTTTAGCGCAGCACACTATCTTCGACAAACGATTACGTAGCCGATACCCTTCGCCAACATCGAGCACGCGTCTTTGTCGCGTGCGAAGATAAACAAAAACAAGATTAAAAAAAGGGCCCAAAGATGCGTTACGAATCAGCAAAAAGAGCTCACGGCCGCCGACACGGCGAAAAGAACAAACAAACACTCGGGAATAACAGAAATACGTTCAGAGAACGTACCGTTCCGTTGGAGATGTGGACGTAGCGGGCTTTGTACCTCATTTTCTAGCAACTTTCGTGGGCTGTAGTATGCGTATTCGGATTGTGAAATGCTGTAGCAACGCAATTGAAGCCGCCCCGAAGCGAGAAAAACAAATAACTAAATAAACGGGTCGTCGCTTCGGCACGCCGCTGGGACACGAACCAACGCGGGAAGAAAACAAAAACACACAGAACAAATGTCCATATGTGACAGTTGAATACCGATGAACGAGATATAAGTAGACGTATGCGCTTGACGAAAGCTCGGATCTGGAGCACAAGAATTTGGCGTCAAAAGGATATTGTACTAGCATCTCCCATCTGTAACATTTTTGTAGCTGTTTCTCCTAATAAGAAAAAAATTGAAACAATAATCAAGTGCCACGATTTTTTTCTTCTTCTTAATTTAACGAAGTCGGCAGTGCAACCATGTGATCTGAGAACGGTGACATCATCCCACTATGAAACGTCAGAAAAAGAGTGGCATTCTATGAAGGGCGACGAACGGGAAACGATTCCTCAATCGACGTGTTCGTACGCGCTATGACCCGTGTGTGCATTAGCGAGCGATTCGGGGACCGCAGAGCGGAGTTAAGGATTGAAAAAAATCACCTGTTTTCTCCGTTCCGAGTTACGCATATCCGTTGAAGCAGACGCCATGTTGTTTATATCGCAAAGATCATCTGAACGGATATGGGAGGCCGCAGTGTCGTATCAAATTTTTATCTTTTAAAAAAATAATGTAAAATTTTATTATAAAATAATTAAAATACTTTGGGTGTTTATTGAACTGATTTTATTTTAATTTTAATTTTAAAGGACGCGTGGTAGTTCTACAACTGAGGCCGCTAAGGAGCGACTGGATCAGCAGTCGTTCCCGTGCGTAATTTTTTTGGCGTCGCCTCCTGCTTTGTTGCCCTAACCGGTAAGTTTCATCGGTATTTAAGCGGAAAGAAGACGAAGTTCTTTGTTTTAAATCGAAATCTCGCGTTCCAACTTTCTAAAAGGGATACCGTGCCGTCAATTGTTCACGGACAGACCATGTTTTCTCCACAGCGTCCCTTAAACGTTCTCGCAACTTCTATCGACACGTGCGGATCCTTGAGGTTTGGTTTGGGCCTGCAACAACGTTTGCTCTCATTCATTCGAGAGCTTTTCCTCATTCCTAACCGTCAATTTAGTTGCGATACATCATTTACGCTACGCAGAAAGCTAGCTGACGTGCCGCTTGTAGCAGTGATCTACAAAAAGAAAGCGCGTTTTGACAACGCCGGCTTTGTTGCAGCCGCGCAGTGCCATTCAATGGATTCCCGTCAAGCTTGTTCTCTTGTTAGCTTTCATAGGCTCGAATATTTGTTCACGTAATGAACTCTCGAGTTTCGTTAAGTTCACGCGTTTATAACGCAGTCGTAGGGACCTACCGCCATGTCAGACGAGCAACGGATGCGTAGGCAGCGGTGGTTGTACCGTCCAGCCCCACACCATATATGGGCAAACGAACTTTTTTTTACAATACATCTACAACGCGTTGCTGTGCGCTCCGATCAAATTTGAGTGAACGGAAACCTAATAGCCGATTACTTTTCCAGGTCTGGTCGATCGTAGCGCGCTCGTTTACTTATCGTAACGTGTGAGGTTCCGTCAGGTGTTACGGAGGTCTTGGTGTAGTTAGCGAAGATTACCCGATAGTTTTGTTTGTTTGTTGAGAGGCTCCATAGTCGAGCAGCCGTGGGATGTCGCCGACGCCAGGAGTCGTACACCGAGAGTTATTTTGTCCACACAATCGAGCAGGGCGTTTCTGGAAAACGCAGGTTCTCCTTGTTCGGACATATTAACCACTTAAATGCATGTTCCAAGCAAAAAAAAAAAAGAAAAAAGAACGAGAGGAAAACAAGAACGGCTATTGGATGGCCAGAGAAATGCGCTTTTCATGTTAGACTCGTCAAAATAATAGATGCTGAAAAAACTCCTAGTTCCTCGCAATGGCTGAGGTACTCGGCCATTGCGAGAAACTCGGCCATTGCATTCACTTCTCTGCTTTTTCTGGTGAAAGAGCCAAAGCACGTACCTGACCTCGCTATGGTCAATCGCCACCGTGGCAGCGAAGCATCTAATGAATAGACGTTTGCTGTGTTGAGGGGTGAGGAGAGGATTATTTCATCTCGGTGATGTATTTTCCGCTTATTTGCTCTCCTAATGTTCTATGGTCTGATGTGCATCGGGGCGACGCTTGGTTTCGTGCGTCGCAGAACAGCCATGGCCAACGTGGGAAGCCTCAATGCGGTTCGCATCCTGAAAGGGGAAGCGGAGGAGGAGAAGGCCGAGACCGCCCGGTTGTCGTCGTTTGTCGGTGCCATCGCCATCGGGGACCTCATGAAGAGCACCCTCGGGCCCAAGGGCATGGTAAGCGTTGGCGGGCAATGCGTCGTTTTGGCGTGTTAAAGGTGAAATTTCGACGGCACGGAATTGCCTCAAAATTGGTTTCGGAGATTAATGGACACATCTAAACTACAAACTCAAATCGCAACATTTTCTTTTTTTTTTTTTTCCGGCAAAGTTATTGGTTTTAAATTTGGTCTGAGGGGCTTTACCGGCAAGACTAAAAACAATGACGTCAATTGCTGCACTATGAGCGCATTATGGCTTGTTTTTCATGGTGCTAAATAAATGCCAATTAAGCTCGGCTGAGCGAAACACAAAAAAAAAAGCGTGCACAAAATAGTGTTTTTTTAGACTGCATGCTTGACTTGCAAGTCGCACAGCATGCCAGGTCACCTCCGTAAAAAGTACGGGAAAATTTTAATGTTGCTTTTGTTATCTCCTTCACTTGCCGTCTTCTCAGTGGCTGTTTTGAATTTGGGGGTAATAAATAGCATGCCAAAAAAAAGTAGAGCCTGTGTGCTGATTTCACTCATGAAGCACTGACTTCCTGCTATACATAATGGGGATAAAGTGCTGCGACGGCGATAGGTTATCTTCAGGTCAGCGCTGTTCTTAGTGCATCGGCGTAGGCTGCCATTCCTACACTTCGTTTCTCTGTTTTGGTGGAGGTTAACGGACAGGACGGAATGCAGTTGACACTTTTGAAAATATTCCTGCGTGCAGGACAAGATCCTGATGTGCAACAACCGCGGGGAGAGCAAGGTGGAGGTGACCAACGACGGGGCTACCATCCTCAAGGCCATTGGCATCGACAACCCCGCCGCCAAGATCCTCGTGGGTGAGTGAGATGAGCGCTTCGCGAATACCGCGATGCGTCGCACGACCGATTCGGGCGTGGACTGTCACCATACACGTTTGTTTGCAAGTATGGCCTCAGGACGGCGCCATCTTCCTCGCTTGGGGTGGGCTTGGACACGGCACTATCTAATTACATAGGTTAAGGCGTCATAAACGGATTATGGCCGCGCCCAAGCGCACCCCAACTGAGGAAGATGGCGTCGCCCCAAGGCCGCACTCGCAAACATGTACAGGGACCGGGAAATGATACCGTCACTTTGGCTGACGAGCGCTCGGATGAACAGCTCGTTCTTCGAGATTCAGTAGGAGTTTGCGTACGCCAGTCGCTGAGCTAGAGGGGCGTTTACGATTCTCGTGTTCATATCTTTTTCAACAGCATGTCTTCTCCCTGATCTGATGGGGTCCCACTCCTTAACGGAAGAAACAACTGAGGAATTGTCACGCTGCGACGGGTAATGCGCTTAAAGGTGCCCTCCAGAGCGTTCGGCGATGGTCTATTTTTGGCGGTAACTCAATTTACAGGCCCTAAGGATCCTAAAAATCATAAAATTACGGTCATGCGCAGCGTATTTCCCTATTAAAATTGCTATCAAAGTCCCCAGCACGCCCCTTTTTCTGAGATGACCCCGGAAAACGGGAGCGGCTTCTCTTTACGTGTCAGCCAATAACAAGCGAAGGATTCCGGCGTCATTGTCGTCACCAACGCGGCCGACCGCCGACCCGCGGAGGAGTCTCTCCGGACTTTGTGCTCGGCAGTCGTCGTTCGTCGCACCGCACCGTCGCATTCCACAGATGACAAGGAAAAGTTTGACTTGTTGACGTGGAAGGATCGCAAAGCTGGCTTCGGGGTGATGATCCACGGGAAGAAGGAACACGTGTCCCAGAAACGCACGCCTGCAGACACCCCGGGAGGCAGACGAGCCGACGCGCCGACGCATCACCCCCTAGCAACAAGCTTGCGGGGAGAAAACATAGTTCGCTGGTTTTAGAGCGATAATTGCGGACTATGTTTCCCGCACCACATTCAGTTTACGTTTTTCTCAAACTCTAATTTACAACGGGCTTAGAAAGTGTTGCAATAATAACTTTCGCATTTGCCGCAAGATGCAGCATTTCCATTGGTCAAGTTTTAGCGATGGGCAGGGAATGGGGGACTGTCTTCCAAGAGAAAATAGTCCCGATATATTTCTTCTGCCATCTGCTTAATAAACGGTTATGTAATCTAAAACTTTGTATACATATTAACTTGCACCTACTACGCAATATAACAACATAAACAGACGATCGCAGAAAGCTCCGGAGGGCCGCTTAAAGGGTAACTGCAAAGAAAAAAAGTGCATTTTTAAACAGCCTAATTGGGACAAGCATGTCACAAAACAAATCTTCTGCCAAAAACAAAATCTTTTACAGCAATATTTATTGCGCGAGATTCATTTTAGTTTGCAACTATTTTGTCCCACAAAGTTGGTATTACACGTCACGGAGTGGCTGCTATACGTCACTCCGTGACGTATAGCAGCTATTCCGTGACTTTGACTAAATTACGTCCTGCGGCGTAAATATTGCTAGAAAAAAATTCTTTTTTCGTGGAAGATTTGTTTTATGACATGCTTGTCCTAATAGGCTGTTTAAAAAAACACCTTTTTTTCTTTGCAGTTACCCTTTAATTGAGCTGTCGAAAGGTTGAATTCAAAGGAGCCATATTGCCGCATGCGTGATCATGAAGGAGCGCTCCACCATGCTTCTAGAGGGTTTGTGATTACTTTTACCCCGAGTGTAATAGACGAGGAGGCCAACATATGACCTTGCCGAGTCAGCCTCCCGAGAGTTCTAAGCTCAAGAATGTTTGAGGTACCGCAAAAAAGAAAAAATTAGTTTAGCTGATAGCCAATCCCACGACGTGCCAGAGAGACAGTTCCCCGCCAACAACTTTCGTTTTGCGGTTTGTTCGATAGGTTGGGCAAGAAACGGAAACGCAGCAATGAAACGCCCTTTTCAATTTTGTTCCCGCGTCGTCGGAGCATCTCAACGCTACAGGGGATCTTTGTGGGGGGTGCGTCATGTGCGCAGACATCTCCAAGGTGCAGGACGACGAGGTTGGGGACGGCACAACGTCTGTGACGGTGCTGGCCTCTGAGCTGCTCAAGGAGGCGGAGCAGCTCATCTCCAAG